ATGCACTCTTCTCCTTTACATTGAGTCAAGAAGGAAAGGCTCCTTTATCTCGCCCTCCAAAGGCAAATAGGATGGAAGAGACTCAGGCATGGATTTCAACGTCCCATATCAATGTTTTGGTCTTGCCCAGTGGAAGCGTTGTCGTGGTCCTCTTGGGGGAGAAGGGCAAAGCCTCTCATCTTTATGGCGCATACGCAGCAACCCTGGTGTAGGAGTTATGCAAAGCCGTTTCCGTTATGTGAAAAGTTGCCATTGCAAACTGCCTTCCCGTTGACTTATAAATATCGACCATGGCCCTGGCTATGAACGCCCGCTGTTTCACCCATTCGGCCAGTATTGCCACCTGGTAGCTTATGGTGTCTGGGAAAAAATATTTTTGAAAGATGAAGGGAAGGAAAATTCAAAAGTTGTGCGACCATTTCGCCGTTATTATGACATTAAAGAGATGGTTGTGAGCGTGCACACTATATCGCTTATTTCCTGTGTTTCTTTCTCTTCTCCATCCGAGATTTTTTCGTTGCAAACAAATTCCATAAAATACATATCTTGAGCGCAATGGTCTGATTTAATATAATCTGCCAATATTCCCTTCAATAGAAATACCGTTATTTGTCCGTCTTGAAATGCCCGTCAGATGTCTGCATTCGAGGTAGGAATCAGCCGTAAAAAAAAAATATATCGTTGTTCTCTCAAGTATTTTTAGCGGACGTCAGCTCTCGCGAGATTCTGTCCAACTCTGTCACGCAGAGAACCAAATGATTGGGCGCGTTTGAGTAGTAAGGCTAAAGCAACCGACCGTAGACGAAAGTCGAGGAGTGAAGTCGGGGGAGGTGCATCTGCGACAGCAGAAAGTCGTACTCTACTGTGGTTTTCCAACAGCAAGGCTCATATCAACATGGCAGTGTTGCCATTGTTTATTAAAGGTTTTCTTTATAATGTTGAGAAAAAAAACATGTCTCCAACACCTACTCACAAACTGAAATTATATCTGTGTACAACAGTGGATGCTGCTGATGGGAGAACGGCTCATAATAGTGGCCAGAACGGAGCAAATGGAATGGCATCAAACACCTGGAAACCATGTGTTTGATGTATTTGATACCATTCCACTGATTCCAGTCATTACCACGAGCCCGTTCTCCCCAATTAAGGTGCCACCAACCTCCTGTGGTGTACAATCTACAATCAATTAGTGAGAGAGAGCCTCAATCACATTTATTTATTCACTGTAGGCTACACATGAGTTGTGGTAAAGTTGATTCCTGTTTCAGTCATGTCTTTGGGCCAAACAAAAACACCCTAATGATTGGTTTACAATAGAGCCTCCCACAATGCAGGTGATGGCTGCAGGATAAAGTTGTTAAAGAGCAATTGCAGAAACTTGCAGTCGGAAATGTTTATTTAATGCAATTTGACAAAAGTGATCTGCTCTTACGCACCCTATGTCTCTGCCTCATATTTCTGCAATACTAACCAGGTTTCCTTCCAACCTTTTTATGCAAGGAAAGTAGCCTACATGTCGGATAGAACATGTCATGACAGGCCTGATGGAAATAGAACATCTTTCGGTAAACTTTCCAAATGTCTACTAAACAAAATACGCTAGACAAGGTGGGATCTTTTTGTGTCGGTAAAATGAATTATGCGAGAAATGTCGGTGCACGTTTATGCGCACATATTGATATAATAACCATCATATACAGGTACATTTGGAGTCACGCGATGACATGTTATGTAGTCAGCCCCTACAACTCATCGGGAAAGCATGCAGTTTATTAGGCTACAGATGAAATAAATTATGATGAGCTTCACAGTGTGGTGAAAGTGCACGGTGATGAGCTTGATGCTCCTTTCCAATAAATATCGAGGGTCTTATTCTGGTGGCTGCCCTTTGACAAATAAAAATAATCTCGCTCTTTTGTCCATAATAATGTCATCATGTAGGCTGGCCTACCCGCACTGTATTAGCGAGCTGTTTGCTAGAGCACACGTGCCAATACCAGAGTAGGCACATTCGCTATGTAAAGCAATATTGTTTTTGTGCGCAAACCATCAGTAGAGTTGAAAATGTGATGGAAACCCATTTAACTTGTATTTTTTATTCGGTCCATGGGTATTTAACCACAAAATGTATTTTATGTAAACTGTCATCGCACAGTCTTTCATCTGCGACAATTCAATTTGATAGAAACATCTCTGGTGGGAAAATGCGCATATTGTTTTAATGAGGCTTTTTTAATATTCGCATGAAAACCTGTCGCCAATTGGATGGAAACCTAGCTACTGACAACAAAGGACATGTCGACAATGTATTTTTGTAAAACATGTCATTAGCTGCATGTAGCCTACTCCCCTCCTGAAAAAAAGAAGACGAAATCGCGTTTATACTTATTGATGCAATAGTTCGAACAGTTTTGTGTACAACATGACGTTTGTAGGCTACGCCAGTGACCAGACAAAGGCGATCAAGGAGGGAGGAGTGGCAGCCGAGCACTCAGTACAGCAAGTGCAGTTAGTACTCAGTTACTTTAAACGTGCAGAATAATCCATATTTTTATCCTGGGCAAATTGGGATACAGAACTGAAAAAAAAAAAAAAAAAAGGTTATTTCAGGTCCTCCCGAATGGCGCAGCGGTCTAAGGCAAATACAGGCGTCACTACAGACCCGGGTTTGATCCCAAGCTGTGTCACAGCCGGCCGTGACCAGGAGACCCATGAGTCGGCGCACAATTGGCCCAGCGTCATCCGGGTTAGGGGAGGGTTTGGCCAGCTGGGATGACCTTATCCCATCGTGCTCGGCTGGACGCCTGCATGCTGACTTCGGTCGCCAGTTGTACAGCGTTTCCTCCGACACATTGGTGTGGCTTGCTTTTGGGTCAAGAAGCAGTGAGGCTTGGCATGGTCGTGTTTCGGAGGACACATGGCTCTCTCCTGAGTCCGTACGGGAGTTGCAGCGATGGGACAAGACTGTAACTACCAACTGGATATCATGTAAAAGTACACAACAAAAATGTTAATTCATGAATATTATGGGTGTCTTTAATAAAAATAACTTGAGCTTTTGCTGCAGAAGACACATTCATGCTTAGTACAACATACAATAATTTGCCAACATTAAAAATATGTACATATGGCCCGTTTATTATGTACAGCCATTGAGGCATTATAGAATGGGCAAAATTATTGACCTAAGCGACTTTGAGCATGGTATGATTTTATCTCAGAAACCTCCGGCCTCCTGGGCTTTTCACGAACAACGGTGTCTAGGGTTTACCGAGAATGGTGCGATAAACAAAAAACATTCAGTCTGCGGCAGTCCTGTGGGCGAAAACAGCTCGTTGATGAGAGGTCGAAGAATCGTGCAAGCGCAGTACAACAGTGGTGTGCAGAATGGCATCTCGGAACGCACAACTCAACTGTCTTTGACACCGATCAGCTAAAAACAAGAATCGGCTCCAGTGGGCACGCGATCACCAACACTGGACAATTGAGGAGTGGAAAAACATTGCCTGGTTCGACGAATCCCGGTTCCTGTTGTGTCATGCTGATGGCAGTCAGGATTTGGCATAAGCAGCATGAGTCCATGGCCCCATCCTTCCTGGTGTCAACGGTATAGGCTGGTGGCAGTGGTGTACTGGTGTGGGGAATGTTTTCCTGGCACACGTTAGGTCCCTTGATACCAATTAAGCAAGGTTTCCATGCCTGAAGAATTCAGGCTGTTCTGGAGGCAAAGGGGGGTCCGACCCAGTACTAGATAGGTGTACCTAATAAACTGAGTGTATGAAACAGGCCACAGATCTGCGGCCGCATGGCCTCACCCATTCCCTCCAAAACATTTTCCAGACATGCCACTATGCAAATCGTATGCCATTAGTAACTCTTACATGTCATCCATATTGCTTTAAAAAAACAAAAAACATTTTGAGTGAAAAGTATGTGAAAAAGTGTGTTTTATTTTCAGTCACTATTGTGACCGATGGGAACAACCATTGCTCTGCCTGTAATACAATTAACAAGAAATCCCCAGCCCCAGTATGTACACTAAATATACAAAAGTATGTGGACACTCCTTCAAATTAGTGGATTTGGCTATTTCAGCCACACCCACAGCAATGCAATCTCCATAGACAAATATTGGCAGTAGAATGGCCTTACTGACGAGCTTAGTGACTTTCAACGTGGCACCGTCATAGGATTCCACCTTTCCAACAAGTCAGTTCGTCAACTTTCTGCCGTGCTAGAGCTGCCCCGGTTAACTGTAAGTGCTGTTATTGAGAAGTGGAAATGTCAAGGAGCAACAACGGCTCAGCTGCAAAGTGGTAGGCCACACAAGCTCACAGAACGGGACCGCTGAGTGCTGAAGCGCATAAAAATAGTCTGTCCTCGGTTGCAACACTCACTATCGAGTTCCAAACTGCCTCTTGAAGCAACGTCAGCACAAGAACTGTTCGTCGGGAGCTTCATGAAATGGCTTTCCATGGCCGAGCAGCCGCACACAAGCCTAAGATCACCATACAGCAATGCCAAGCATCAGCTGGAGTGGTGTAAAGCTCGCCGCCATTGGACTCTGAAGCAGTGGAAACGCATTCTCTGGAGTGATGAATCACGCTTCACCATCTGGCAGTCCGACAGACTAATCTGGGTTTGGCGGATGCCAGGAGAACGCTACCTGCCCCTATGCATAGTGCCAGCTGTAAAGTTTGGTGGAGGAGGAATAATGGTTCGGGCTAGGCCCCTTAGTTCCAGTGAAGGGAAATCTTAATGCTAAAGCATATAGTTACATTCTAGACAATTCTGTGCTTCCAATTGGAATACCGACTGCGAGCAAGGCCTAATCGCCCAACGTCACTAATTATCTTGTGGCTGAATGGAAGCAAATTCCCGCAGCAATGTTCCAACATCTAGTGGAAAGCCTTCCCAGAAGAGTGGAGGCTGTTATAGCAGCAAAGTGGGGACCAACTCCATATTAAATGGCCATGATTTTGGAATGACATGTTCGACAAGCAGGTGTCCACATACTTTTGTTCATGTAGTGTAGCTTTTCTCATTGGAAAATACGCCGAATTAGCCGCCTGGCTACGAGTCACTTGTATTTCCGGGAACAAATAACAAATTAACCATGTTATTTTGTTCAACATGGTCGGACGTAATCAAACACTTTTTCATGAAAGCAACATGTAGACATTTTTGGTCCGAACAGACTAGAATAAATATAATTTCACACTATTGGGCAATGTATCAAAACTTTTTCATGGATCATACGTTTTCATTTATTATCACCTGGTAAGACATTAGGTCTACTACAAGTGGAAAAAACGACTTATTCCACCTTTAAGGTAGATATTCTTTATTCATTAATTTACATCAGCTATACAGTTCAAGATGTGGATCTTATTTCCTTATGCACCATCGAGATCCACATAAAAATATCAACAACTATAAATATTGGCTGTTGGTGTGATTACAACATTATCATAACTTCCTCAAAAGAACAATGAGGCAATGGGGATAATGACCATGTTTCAGTTTCAATTTGTTTGTTTTGAACGGACAGAGGGCTTTGTTGTGATTTTTAAAATCACAAGTGAAATAAAGTTGGAAGGCTTTAGATCTCGTCAACGAAGGGCGTCTTGACGAGGTTTCCACTGGAAGCCATTGACTTCTTGCCCGACACAAACTTATTTGCAGCCTGAGAGAACAAGGAAAACACATCTAAGCACAAAAACAAACAACCTAGGAAAATACTCCTAATATACTGTACAAGTTGAGAGTGAGCTGCAGCAAAGACAGTAATATAGAAATATATTAACTTCCACTTGAATTTTCACTTAGTCTCCAATTGACATCAATGCATGACTAAGTGAAAATTCAACTTAAGCGGAAGTTAATATTCCCCCCAAAGTGAATGAACTTACGTTAGCGACATCAGTTGCGGAGACAGAGTCGATCTTCTGTGCGATGGCCTCGGGGGAGTGGTAGACCCCTCCGGCCAGAGCCTGTGAACCCATGGCATCTAACAAACCCTCTGAGCTCTCCAACGACATCAGATACTCAGCCTTCAGCTGGGTCCTACAAAAACAGATACACCTTAAGTCAACGTCTTCAAAGTCCCTTCCATTGCAATACTTTTCTCGATTTTATCTACTCAAATTCTACAGTGCATTCGGAAAGTATTCAGACCCCTTGGCTTTTCCCACATTTTATTACATTACAGTCTTATTCTAAAATGGATTAAAATAGTTTTCCCCCCTCAATTTACACACAATACCCCATAATGACAAAGCAAAAACAGGTTTTTAGAAATGTTTGCAAAACTATAAAAAATAAAAAACGGAAATACCACATTTACATAAGTATTCAGACCCTTTACTCAGTACTTTGTTGAAGCACCTTTGGCAGCGATTACAGCCTCGAGTCTTCTTGGGTATGACGCTACAAGCTTGGCACACCTGTCTTTGGGGGAGTTTCTCCCATTCTTCTCTGCAGATCCTCTCAAGCTCTGTCAGGATGGAGGGGGAGCGTCACTGCACAGCTATTTTCAGGTCTCTCCAGAGATGTTCGATCGGGTTCAAGTCCGGGCTCTGGCTGGGCCACTCAAGGACATTCAGAGACTTGTCCCGAAGGCCACTCCTGCGTTATCTTGGCTGTGTGCTTAGGGTCAATGTCCTGTTGGAGGTGAACCTTTGCCCCAGTCTGAGGCCTGAGCGCTCTGGAGCAGGTTTTCATCAAGGATCTCTGTACTTTGCTCCGTTCATCTTTCCCTCGATCCTGACTAGTCTCCCAGTCCCTGCCACTTAAACACATCCCCACAGCATGATGCTGCCACCACCATGCTTCACCGTAGGCATGGTGCCAGGTTTCCCCCAGACGTGACGCTTGGCATTCAGGCCAAAGATTTCAATCTTGGTTTCATCAGACCAGAGAATCTTGTTTCTCATGGACTGTGAGTCCTTTAGGTGCCTTTTGGCAAACTCCAAGCGGGCTGTCATGTGCCTTTTACTGAGGAGTGGCTTCCATCTGGCCATTCTACCATAAAGGCCTGATTGGTGGAGTGCTGCAGAGATGGTTGTCCTTCTGGAAGGTTCTCCCATCTCCACAGAGCAACTCTAGAGCTCTGTCAGAGTGGCCATCAGGTTCTTGGTCACCTCCCTGACCAATGCCCTTCTCCCCCGATTGCTCAGTTTGGCCAGGCGGCCAGCTCTAGGAAGAGTCTTGGTGGTTCCAAACTTCTTCCATTTAAGAATGATGAAGCCACTGTTTTCTTGGGGACCTTCAATGCTGCAGAATTTTTTGGTACCCTTCCCCAGATCTGTGCCTCGACACAATCCTGTGTCGGCGCTCTACGGACAATTTCTTTGACCTCATGGCTTGGTTTTTGCTCTGACATACACTGTCAACTGTGGGACCTTGTATATACCTGAGCTCAATTTCGAGTCTCATAGCAAAGGGTCTTAATACTTACGTAAATAAGGTATTTCAGTTTTTTATTTTTTATAAATTTGCTAAAGAATTCTAAAAATCTGTTTTCACTTTGTCATTATGGGGTATTGTGTGTAGCCCAATGAGGATTTTATTTTATTTTATCCATTCTAGAATAAGGCTGTAACGTAAATTTGTTTGGGAAAAAGGGAAGATGACTGAATACTTTCCGAATGCACTGTATATTCAAGTTTCTAAGTCTGTGTGTGTTAGCTTACTTGGCGCGGGTCAGGTCAGCTTCTGAGACTCCTCCTGTAACAGCCTTCACCTGGCCAATAGCTGCCTTGATCACCTGGAGAGGAGGACAGGGATAGGTCAATCAATTAATCAATGGGAGGTCAAAGTTCATCTTCATTATGATCTTTCCTTATCCTAAATGAATGATCTTACATTCCATTCTATGTAAAAGCAACTATCCCTCACAGGGTTCATAGGACTAGTTATCAACGGCTTCAAAAAGCTGTTGTGAAGAGGTTCAATTAATCTTTATCAATTCTTATAAAATGTACATTATCAGTAGAAATCGACCGGGAGACCCATGGGGCGGCGCACAATTGGCCCAGCGTCATCCAGGGTAGGGGAGGGAATGGCCAGCAGGGATGTAGCTCAGTTGGTAGAGTATGGTGTTTGCAACGCCAGGGTTGTGGGTTCGATTCCCATGGGGGGCCAGTATGATTTTTTATTTTTTTTAAATAAAAATAATGTATGCACTCACTAACTGTAAGTCACTCTGGATAAGAGCGTCTGCTAAATGACTAAAATGTAAAAAAAATGTAAAAATGAAATGTCAGAGACATCATACTCACGTCACCAGCTGCTGCAGACTGGGAGATGGTGTAGACTCCAAACAGGCCAGAGTCAGAGTAGTTGGCATTGAAAGCAGAGGCCTAAAAGGAGGGGACACCAGAGGAGAATGACTGCATGAAAGAAATCTATTCTGCACAAAACTCTTCTATCCAAAGATTCCTCCACATACCGCATTTCCCTCCTGTAGAAAGCCCAGCTATAAAAACACAATCTGATCTGGTGATTATGTCACTCACATCGAAGGGGTCTGCGGTAGCCTTAGCGACGCCCTGGATGAGTTTGGAGGTGGAGTTGGAGCCTCTCTTGATGTGTGGCCCCGCCCCCAGGACATGCTGTAGTACAGAGAAGGCCATAGCCTCATCTGTCCCCACCGCCGCCCCCTCAGACACCACTGCAGAGTGCACTAGGCTGGACCCGTTCTGCACCCGCACCTCGCCTAGAGAGAGAGCGAGAGAGAGAGAAAGAGAGAGATAGGGATAGAGGGACAGGGATAGAAAGAGAGACAGGGATAGAGAGAGAGAGACAGGGATAGAGAGAGAGGGATAGAGAGAGAGAGACAGGGATAGAGAGAGAGAGAGACAGGGATAGAGAGAGAGAGACAGGGATAGAGAGAGAGGGATAGAGAGAGAGAGACAGGGATAGAGAGAGAGAGACAGGGATAGAGAGAGAGAGAGAGGGATAGAGAGAGAGAGGGATAGAGAGAGGGACAGGGATAGAAAGAGAGAGACAGGGATAGAGAGAGCGACAGGGATAGAAAGAGAGCAGAGAGAGAGAGAGAGAGAGAGAGAGAGAGAGAGAGAGAGAGAGAGAGAGAGAAACCTTATTAGAATTCAACCCTCTTCAAGATTCAGATACAGTGGCCATTGCAGCCCCTCTGGAATAAGGATCTTACCACCGCGGTACTGAGACCTTGTCCCAGCGGTGCCCATCCCACTGCGGATGTTGAGGAACTGCTCTCCCACCTGCTTCAGAACATTGTGGTCCACACCTGAACACATAGAAAGTATGTGAGAAAAACAATATATTTTTCAACATTCCCTTAACACACATGGCTATCAAGTAATTTGATTTAAAATATTTTGTATTAGATATACACGTTTAACACTTACCAAGGCCAACCAGAGCCATTCTTGCACTTGTGAAATTGTTTTGGATAAAATTGTGCATCTGGAGAGGAAGATGAACATCAGAGGGTTAATGAAAAACTCAACCGTCGTGCTGTACTTCCTGGAGTAGTACACCTGGAGAGGCAGATGAACACCCATAGCATTAGCCCAAACTAATGAATAGTACAGTAGAACATGCTGGGACCAGGATGTTGAGTGTCTTACATGGTCAGCGTCGACCTGGCCAACCATGTAGTCTGGGCAGTAGAGGGAGTTGGACAGGGCGTTCTTGTAAGCCGCTCCATGTAGACCCTCAATCACACCTGAGGAAAAGAAACGCAAGGCGCTTCAGCCGCAGTGTGATGACACTTTGCATTATGCTATTATCCAGAGCCGTTAACAGTAATAACAAAACTGAAACAACCACATAACTGTGTGTGTGTGTGTTCTCACCCATCTGGGGGGTCTGTGCGGCTAGGGCCTTGTCCATCTTGACCCTGGGAGTGAGGTCAGACACCTCCCACGGCCTGAACTCTGGGGCTGTGGTCACATTGATCAGGTACTCCATCACCGTGTCACTGCATTAGACAACACAGAAATGAGAATGACAGCGATTTATTCACCATATTTCAGATCTATGTTTGTATATACATAGTAGGGCTGTGATGATACCAGTATCACAAAAAAAATTCCATGGCAAAAATGAAAACATGAAGCAGACAAAACTCTTTGGTCTTTTAAAAAACCTGCTGTATATAAAATATTGTGTGATATACACTACCGGTCAAAAGTTTTAGAACACCAACTCATTCAAGGGTTTTTCTTTATTTTTACTATTTTCTACATTGTAGAATAATAGTGAACACATCAAAACTATGAAATAACACATATGGAATCATGTGGTAACCAAAAAAGTGTTAAACAAATCATTCTTCAAATAGCCACCCTTTGCCTTGATGACAGCTTTGCACACTCTTGGCATTCTCTCAACCAGCTTCATGAGGTAGTCACCTGGAATGCATTTCAATTAACAGGTGTGCCTTCTTAAAAGTTAATTTGTGGAATTTCTTTCCTTCTTAATGTGTTTGAGCCAATCAGTGGTGTTGTAACAAGGTAGGGGGGGTATACAGAAGATAGCCCTATTTGGTAAAAGACCAAGTCCATATTATGGCAAGAACAGCTCAAATAAGCAAAGAGAAACGACAGTCCATCAATACTTTAAGACATGAAGGTCAGTCAATACGGAAAATCTCAAGAACTTTGAAAGTATCTTCAAGTGCAGTCGCAAAAACCATCAAGTGATATGAGGAAACTGGCTCTCATGAGGACCGCCACAGGAATGGAAGACCCAGAGTTAGGATAAGTTCATTAGAGTTACCAGTCTCAGAAATTGCAGCCCAAATAAATGCTTCACAGAGATCAAGTAACAGACACATCTCAACATCAACTGTTCAGAGCAGACTATGTGAATCAGCCCTTACACACCTCCAGGCTGTGTAAGGGCTATTTTACCAAAAAAGAGAGTGATGGAGTGCTGCATCAGATGACCTGGCCTCCACAATCCCCCGAGCTCAACCAAATTGAGATGGTTTGGGATGAGTCGGACCACAGAGTGAAGGAAAAGCAGCCAACAAGTGCTCATCATTTGTGGGAACTCATTCAAGACTGTTGGAAAAGCATTCCAGGTGAAGCTGGTTGAGAGAATGCCAAGAGTGTGCAAAGCTGTCATCAAGGCAAAGGGTGGCTATTTGAAGAACCTAAAATATAAAATATATTTTGACACTTTTTTGGTTACTACATGATTCCATATGTGTAATTTCATAGTTTTGATGTCTTCACTATTATTCTACAATGTAGAAAATAGTTTTTAAAAAACTTGAATGAGTAGATGTTCTAAAACTTTTGACCGGTAGTGTAGCTTGGAAAATAAATAAATGTTACTCTGGACGACAACATAAAGTTAAATCCGCTTCGTGTTTTGTTTCCTTGCCACGTCACGAAGGAGTAAAGCAAACATTTTTATTTTACCTTTATTTAACTAGGCAAATCAGTTAAGAACAAATTCTTATTAACAATGACGGCCTACACCGGCCAAACCCGGACGACGCTGGGCCAATTGTACGCCGCCCTATGGGACTCCCAATCACGGCCGGTTGTGATACAGCCTGGAATCGAACCAGGGGGTCTGTAGTGACGCCTCAAGCACTGAGATGCAGTGCCTTAGACCGCTGCGCCACTCGGGAGACCAATACTGGTATGGTCCCAGCCGTGGCAATACTGGTATGGTCCCAGCCATAACACATAGGTATGCTTTAAGCAAGCATCACTTACATGTGGTCTCTGAGACAGTCAACAGAGTAGATCATGTTCTCTCTGGATGACGTCACGCTGTATAGAAAACACACACAGATAAAAAGTATGTCATCCATGACAGTGGTACAGTCAGTCAGAAAATATGTTAAGTATCCCAAACAATAGAAATCAAAGATACGTCCAGTTGTCTTTCTGGTCTTGTGAGGATGTATACACTCATTCACAGGCTCTGAAGACTACTGACCCTAGACTGCCTCCCACTGCCTCCACACCACGACAGATCCTGAAGGCTGAAGCACCTTTGGTAGTCTAGAAAAGAGCAGCAGAGGTTGGGATTAACCACATCACTAGTTCCTACGCAGTATTGAGTACATTGAATAATCACTCAAGCTCCTGGCTACATCATGTTGATGGAGGAGGGGTGATGAACCAGAGCCAGGAGTACCAGGTTGGCAGCCAGACGGAGCAGGTGGGTGACTCCCTGGTTCTCCGGGGACTCATAGCGACAGCCAGCCTTCACAAACACACCGATCCTGGATGCCGGGGAGTAGTTTTCCAATGAGGCTATCATCAGACCACTGGGCAGTTTGGTCACCTGCAAGAGAAATATCAGTTAGCATCACACCTTGATGGTGTGTTTTATGCAGTTAAGATGTCAGAACATTTTAACAGAGCAGTGTAGTATAACATATCTTAGCTCTAACTTCTGTTATAAACTGGGTGGGTTGAGCCCTGAATGCTGATTGGCTGACAGCCGTGGTATATCAGACCATATACCACGGGTATGACAAAACATTTATTTTTACTGCTCTAATGACGTTGGTAACCAGTTTATAAAAGCAATAAGGCACCTCGGGTGTTTGTGATATATGGCCAATATACCACGGCTAAGGGCTGTGTCCAGGCACTCCGCGTTGTGTCGTACTTAAGAGCAGCCCTTAGCCGTGGTATATTGCCCATACACCACACCTCCTCAGGCCTTATTGCTTAATTATAGCATGTCCACATAAAAGGCAACAAATGGATGGGCAGCAAAGCATCAAATCCCAAATACCTTTTTACCTAGTTTTACTTCAACTATTACAAATGTAATCAGCATGACATTTCACTGGGAGTTTGTAACAGTACACAGAGATATTATATGTGGAATAATAAAAGCAGACTTATATCTCAAAGGAACAAAGAACCATGTAAACCACAGGAGTTAGAGCAGGACAGAGGACACAATCTCCACCCCCTAAATCACTCCCTCAGACCACCACATACATGGACGTCCTGGTATGAATGGGAAGCCCCTGTGGAGACCTTGAGGCCCGACAGAGGCTGAGTCAAGGGCTGCTCTGTTCGGGTGGCCGCATAGAAGCGTCTCTGTGAGGAGAGAGAGACATGTCAACACCCACTGACCTGCACCTCCTGCAGCTGAAACTTTACGTGCTCTGCGGAGACATCCAATTTACGGGCAGCCTGGGCTGCGTAAAGCCTTGTCTGTAATGTAGAAAAGAGACAAGGTGACTTCATATCCTACTAGGGTGTTATGGTGGGTCTGGACTCTGGATAGAGAGAACCAATGAGATTATTAAGAATCATAGACAGAGAATGATGGTTGAATACTGGATGGAACGTTATGTCCTAATGAATTGACCCAAGACAGTGTTTGCCAGCTATTTGCATTATAGTGCACGGTCGAGGGCACATGACCACCTTCTATGAACTACATTTGACTTTCGATGGAGAATCAAAAGGCTTGTTGTCACATCAACGGCTGTTAAACAGGTAGTGAGACAGAGCACCAACTGAACCGTTATCCTCTGCATGATCATGATCTGATCTTTTAATTGGTCAGACCGAGGGACGAATTTGACAACACTTTGACAATAGGGAAAGAGTAGATGTCTTCTACGTGTCAGATACAATTCATGGAATATAGAACCACAATTTTTAACCCACTGCCAAACGTTTAGGATGGGTTTATCAGCAGGCCATGCCATGTATCTAAATGGTCGTGCTAATGTTAGCTGGCGTCTTCGCTAGTATGCTAGCTAGTGACATCATCATCACAGCTTGTCGCGCGAGCACTTTTCTCGCCAACCAATCAATACAATCTACTTGTACTATCGGATACCAAAAACCGTCTCCTGAATAATCAACTATTCAGACTTATTACAATGTCAAAGGAGTTCTTACCGATAGCTGACTTATTCCCCGAAGCCCCTTCATCTCCCCTCTATCCTTCAACCAAGACGATTAAACAATATGGCTGACCTTAAGAGTGTCCTACCCAGAGTTCACAGCGCGCCACATTTTTCCTCGATTTTATTTTTACGTGCACTAACGAATGTTTTTGATGCACGTCGCCACCTACTGTCCAATGGTACACCTTTTAAAATGTACAAAACAGCTCTTTATCTATCCTGCAGGGTTCTACATATATATTCCACATTTCGTGAAAATGCACAACATGCATCGTTAATTCAATGGAAAATAACTGTGGCTACTGGCTGTGGAAACAAAACCAAAGCAAAAAGGAGAACATGGGCGGGACATGGACAATTTGGGCTCAAACAACGCACTTCCTGTCCAGTTTAGCGAGCAAAGCCCTCATATACGCATGCGTTCCATACTCAATATAACACGTGTTGTTTGTTACCACTGAGCTATAATTGTTACAAAGTAGTTGCATGTAGAAGTTCCTCGAGCTTTTGAGAACACAAACGGTTGTAGCTACAGAAATATTTATTTTTTGAATTTCCCAAAACCTCAATCGCAGGCGGCGTAGTCCTCCGTGAAGCATTCGCCGAGAGGAGAAATATCAGAAATACACGGAAGTAATCATGGTGAGTGTTTGAATAAACTGCTTCAGTTAGCATTTCTAGCTAATACCGGTAGTATCGTAGTTAGCTGATTGATAAGGATAGCGTTGTTTCGTTCTCTGCTAGTCAGTTTCTACATCTAACTGTTTTGTGTTTCTTCTCAGACTGAAGCCGAAGTGAATCCGAAGGCCTACCCCCTGGCCGACGCCACACTGTCCAAAACCATCCTGGACCTCGTGCAGCAAGCCTCAAACTACAAACAGTTGAGGAAAGGGGCCAATGAGGGTGAGGGAATCTGTAATAATGATTAATACCCAATTGGTAATATATCGATCATAAATGGGAAATGTACCCAATCCTTTCTGCGAGAAGCGTTATACCAGCTTCCAAGACATCTGGCCCTATGGAAATTATTTTGATGTGATATGAAAGGGGGACTTATATTTCTAGAACCATACTGTAATTTAGAATTGATTCACGTTTAGATTGAGGTTCTGGCTTCCAGAGCCAATTCTCCCTTTAAGCTGAACATGTAAGGTCCTTGAACTAAAGGCTTCCGCATGCTTCGGTTCGGCTGGCACCTAGCCGAACTCGGCTACGTGAACCGAACGAGTGTGCTCGCGTACCTTTAACCTTCTCTTGAATAGACCTTCGCTTGAAAACTGAGTGGCAATGTACTGTTTGTCCATCTTGAGATGCCTTAGCCAGTATACACTTCCTCAATGGAATTAATCTAAACTCAAATCTGTCATTCATTGAATTTTTTTGCAGAGGAGATCTTTGTCATGCAATTGTACATCTAACTAGGATGTTTGCAGTATTTCTCAAGTTAGACTAGTTTTCATGCAAATGTTCTATTGTTGAATGACAACACTTCATTGAAGAATCCCTACTGTTGACCAATCACCGACGACGGGGCATAGACTTCGGTACTTCTTGCTGGAAGGCAAAACATTCAAATTTCACTAAATGTTGTCATAATATATGCACAAACCGTTCTGAACTGTTTCAGATGGGAAGCATGCGGACGCCTTAAGGAGTAACGTGCGCTCCATTAGTCCAATATTGGGTTAACCCTAACTGCTAGCCTTAACATAACATTTACCCCCTAGCCTGGCTAATGTTAGGCACAACAAATTTGAATTTGTAACATACTTCGTAACATATCTTATGAAATGGATGGACATCCACAAATTAATACATACCATACCAACGTAACATACTAATTTGAGTGTCCCGGATTTTCATTTACTATGTTACTTCTACCCCTGAGTCCAGGTTGGCGCAGGAGGTTGTGTGCTTGATCTCTGACCACTGACTAGCTGGTTCAAATCCCACTCAGATTACCACCTTAATCACTACAAAAGTTATCTATGGAGTTCTCATTCTACACTATAATCTATCAAAGACATGTCACTAACCCTTGAATCTTGTTTATCCTCTTCCAGCCACCAAGACATTGAACCGTGGTATCTCCGAGTTCATTGTGATGGCTGCTGATGCTGAGCCACTGGAGATCATCCTCCACCTGCCGCTGCTCTGCGAGGACAAGAACGTCCCCTACGTGTTTGTGCGCTCCAAGCAGGCCCTGGGGCGTGCCTGTGGGGTCTCCCGCCCGGTCATCGCCACCTCAGTCACCATCAAGGAGGGTTCTCAGCTGAAGCCCCAGATCCAGTCTACCCAGATGGCCATTGAGAGACTGCTGGTCTGATCTGGTTACTTCTCTGCTCTCTGTTTGTATTGGATAGTCTGAGAGACTATCAGGGAGTTGAATGATGTCTTTTTGATAGTCAAATTGTTTTTGGGAGAGACATGTTGTGTACATGTATCTATTTTACTTTCGTCAGGGACATACAAAGAATGTATAAATGTCCATGTGTTATGTCATTCACTCTTGTGTTTTGTGATAAAACATGAGTTTATTTTTGCTCATTGTGTTGGTCTGTATTTGTATTCTTCCATTGTAAGTGCCAGAAGACTATTACAGTATAACAATACTGTATGCAAGAGAAATTGGTTGAGAACCTGAGATGGAGGGATGAACCAACTAGACCAGAGGATGATAGAATATTTTAGGGGACCCTCATAAGTTGACTCGGCAGAATCAAAATGTGCCCATTGAAGTTCTGTGGAGCATTTTTAAAGAACATGTTCACACAACCATTTGGTGTCTTGAACGCAGCCTCGGCGCAGCAATCATTTTAGGTAATAGTGAGATTACATTTGTAAACTTTTGTACTCACATCGGTGATCATAAACTGTCTGCACGCTTGAGTTTAGCAAAGGTTTTGGCCACCGTGGCTGAGTCACCCGTTATTATACGGCATGATGAGGTTGAAGGATTGTGATCTTGATTTGATCTTGCTTGTTGAAGTAGCAGGGGAAGTTTTCCAAATGGGACAGTGCAGAAGTGATCCAGCCTGTTTATAGTACGGTCCCGTTTATTCATTCAATCCCGATCCTCATTGGTCGGGTAATTTAGTAATACTGTTCCAAAAATGGTCCGGACAGATTCCTGGGGTTGGTGCATGAAGACCTCCTGTGCACTAAGGTGGTGTTTCTACAACCGGGAGAATGGGTCAACTCTGCCATCAACTCAAGCCACAGTGTTGCTGTTTGATTCTGAGTATGGCTACGACCATTGAACAGTGGCCATTAGATGTTATTTGTCACAATCAGACAAAAGCGGTCAAAGGATTTAACAGCACACAGCTGGTTATATAGGGCGGCAGGTAGCTTAGTGGTTAAGAGCGTTGTGCCAGTAACCGAAAGGTCGCTGGTTCTAATCCCCAAGCCGACTAGGTGAAAAATCTGTCGATGTGCCCTTGAGCAAGGCACTTAACCCTAATTGCTCCTGTAAGTCGCTCTGGATAAGAGCGTCTGCTAAATAACCAATTATTATTATTATTATTATTATAAGAGGTCTCAATGTGGTTGACATTTGCTGGTCATGGATGGGGATGTCATCACAGCCAAAGGCCCTCCATGTAGCCGCAGAGGGCGTGCATACACTCTTCATTGGAATGATTCCTCACTACCTGGCAACTTTTTGTTCTAACTTTGGAATGTTTGGAACCGTCCAGCTGTTGATGCCAGCCCAGTCAGAGGTGTTGACCATACTGGGAGCTGGACATCAGGCCCTCAGCCACTATGTCTTCACAGAAACCTTCTCCATTAAAGAGGTACCAGAGTGATTCAGTGTTTCTGAATGGGTTATTAGAGAGGCCCACTGGTATTGTAGCTACGTACAATATGAAAGGCCATAGAGAGATCACATTGGATTTGTGCCTCTCCTACAGGTCTGTGTGGAACAGGAGGATAGAGTCGGTGGAGAGTTTTACCCAGTCCGCCCATGGTCCTGTTACACTGTGAGGCAGACGCCACTGTGACTGGGGCCAGTGAACCATTGCTCTTTGGCCAGTGGGTCAAGCCTGGTGCCCATGTGGCAGGTGAGGAGGCTCCTGACTGAAGACGATAGTGCCATGCCTTGACTTAAGATGTGTGAAGATATATACACTGAACAAAAATATAAACGCAACATGTCAAGATGTTTCATGAGCTGAAATAGAAGATCCCAGAAATTACACACAATAACCCATAATGTCAACGCAAAAACAGGTTGCTAAGTTATTAAAAATAAAAAAGAGAAATATCACATTTACAAAAGTATTCAGACCCTTTACTCAGTACTTTGTTGAAGCACCTTTGTGATGACAGCCTCAAGTCTTTTTGGGTATGACGCTACAAGCTTGGCACACCTATATTTGCACACCTATACACCAAGTCACTTGGCTCTGTCATATCCTCACATGGCCTTTCCTATCATTGCTACGCTGACGATACACAACTAATCTTCTCCTTTCCCCCTTCTGATAACCAGGTGTCGAATCGCATCTCTGCATGTCTGGCAGACATATCAGTATGGATGACGGATCACCACCTCAAGCTGAACCCTGGCAAGACGGAGCTGCTCTTCCTCCCGGGGAAGGACTGCCCGTTCCATGATCTTGCCATCACGGTTGACAACTCCGCTGTGTCCTCCTCCCAGAGTGCGAAGAGCCTAGGCGTGACCCTGGACAACACCCTGTCGTTCTCCGCCAACATCAAGGCGGTGACCCGCTCCTGCAGGTTCATGCTCTACAACATTCGGAGAGTGCGACCCTGCCTTACACAGGAAGCGGCGCAGGTCCTGGTCCAGGCACTTGTCATCTCCCGTCTGGACTACTGCAACTCGCTGTTGGCTGGGCTCCCTGCCTGTGCCATTAAACCCCTACAACTCATCCAGAATGCCGCAGCCCGTCTGGTGTTCAACCTTCCCAAGTTCTCTCACGTCACCCCCCTCCTCCGCACACTCCACTGGCTTCCAGTTGAAGCTCGCATCCACTACAAGACCATGGTGCTTGCCTATGGAGCAGTGAGGGGAACGGCACCTCTGTACCTTCAGGCTCTGATCAGTCCCTACACCCAAACGAGGACATTGCGTTCATCCACCTCTGGCCTGCTGGCTCCCCTTCCTCTGCGGAAGCATAGCTCCCGCTCAGCCCAGTCAAAACTGTTCGCTGCTCTGGCACCCCAATGGTGGAACAAGCTCCCTCACGACACCAGGACAGCGGAGTCACTCACCACCTTCCGGAGACATTTGAAACCCCACCTCTTTAAGGAATACCTGGGATAGGATAAAGTATTCCTTCTAACCCCCCCCCAAATTGTAAAGTGGTTATCCCACTGGCTATAGGGTGAACGCACCAATTTGTGAGTCGCTCTGGCTAAGAGCGTCTGCTAAATTACGTTAATGTGCCCTTGAGCAAGGCACTTAACCCTAATTGCTCCTGTAAGTCGCTCTGGTTAAGAGCGTCTGCTAAATGACTAAAATGTAAAATGTATATTTGGGGAGTTTTTCCCCATTCTTCTCTGCAGTTCCTCTCAAACTCTGTCAAGTTGGATGGGGAGCGTTGCTGCACAGCTATTTTCAGGTCTCTCCAGAGATGTTCAATCGGGTTCAAGTCCGGGCTCTAGCTGGGCCACTCAAGGACGTTCAGAGACTTGTCCCGAAGCCACACCTGCGTTGTCTTGGCTGTGTGCTTAGGGTCGTTGTCCTGTTGGAAGGTGGATCTTCGCCCCCAGTCTGAGGTCCTGAGCGCTCTGGAGCAGGTTTTCATCAAGGATCTCTCTGTACTTTGCTCTGTTAATCTTTCCCTCGATCCTGACTAGTCTCCCAGTCCCTGCCGCTGAAGAACATCCCCACAGCATGATGCAGCCACCACCATGCTTCACCGTAGGGATGGTGCCAGGTTTCCTCCAGATGTGACGCTTGGCATTCAGGCCAAAGAGTTCAATCTTGGTTTCATCAAATCACATTTTATTTGCCACATACGCCGAATACTTACAGTAAAATGCTTACTTACAATCCCTTAACCAACAATGCAGTTTTTAAGAAAAATGTAAAATGTGTTAAGTAAAAAATAGCAAATAATTAAAGAGCAGCAGTAAAATAAAATAACAGTAGTAGCAGCAGCGTAAAAGAGGGGGTGGGGGTGCAATGCAAATAGTCCGGGTAGCCATGATTAGCTGGTCATGAGTCTTATGGCTTGGGGGTAGAAGCTGTTAAGAAGCCTTTTGGACCTAGACTTGGCGCTCCGGTACCGCTTGCCGTGCGGTAGCAGAGAGAACAGTCTATGACTAGGGTGGCTGGAGTCTTTGGCAATTTTTAGGGCCTTCCTCTGACACCGTCTGGTATAGAGGTCCTGGATGGCAGGAAGCTTGGCCCCAGTGATGCACTGGGCCGTCCGCACTACCCTCTGTAGTGCCTTGCGGTCGGAGGCCGAGCAGTTGCCATACCAGGCGGTGATGCAACCAGTCAGGATGCTCTCAATGGTGCAGCTGTAGAACTTTTTGAGGATCTGAGGACCCATGCCAAATCTTTTCAGTCTCCTGGGGGGGAATAGGTTTTGTCGTGCCCTCTTCACGACTGTCATGGTGTGTTTGGACCATGATAGTTTGTTGGTGATGTGGACACCAAGAAACTTGAAGCTCTCAACCTCTAAGACCAGAGAATCTTGTTTCTCATGGTCTGAGAGTCCTTTAGGTGCCGTTTGGCAAACTCCAAGCGGGCTGTCATGTACCTTTTACTGAGGAGTGGCTTCCATCTGGCTATTCTACCATAAAGGCCTGATTGGTGGATTGCTGCAGAGATGGTTGTCCTTCTGGAAGGTTCTCCCATCGCCACAGAGGAACTCTGGAGCTCTGTCAGAGGGACCATCGTGTTCTTGGTCACCTCCCTGACCAAGGCCCTTCTCCCCCGATTGCACAGTTTGGCCAGGCGGTCAGCTCTAGGAAGAGTCTTGGTGGTTCCAAACTTCTTCCATTTAAGAATGATGGAGGCCACTGTGTTCTTGGGGACCTTCAATGTTGCAGAATTTTTACCATTCCCCAGATCTGTGCCTCAACACAATCCTGTCTCGGCGCTCTACAAACAATTCCTTCAACATCATGGCTTGGTTTTTGCTTTGACATGCACTGTTAACTGTGGGACCTTATATAGAGAGGTGTGTGCGTTTTCAAATCATGTCCAATCAATTGAATTGGGTCTGAATACCTATGTAAATATTTTTTAGATTTTTTTATACATTTTCACAAAAAATTAAAAACCTGTTTTCACTGTGTCATTATGGGGTATTGTGTGTAGATTTATGAGGTGAAAAAAATAATTGTATCCATTTTAGAATAAGGCTGTAACATAAAATGTGGGAAAGGGGAAGGGGTCTGAATACTTTCCAAATATACTGTACATTCCCACCTGGTGGGTATACTACAAAGCAGGATCAATTAGTTAGCCATCTAACTTTGATAAACAACCAGAAAAAAACTTTATTTTCTAGTTCATAAAGAAAGCTAAATTTAGATATGTGTTTTTGGTTGTGGAGTTAAGTAGACCATGCCCATTTCAAGCTCATAAAAAAAAAGTGATTTCTGAATATTTAGGTAAGTTAGCTAGCAAACTACTTGATCTTGCTTTGTAGTATACCCCTGTTCTGTTTTAAGGGAGTGGGTGGAAAGAGGTTTAAACATTCCTACAGCCACACAGCGGAATTTAAAAAGCTGACAACAGGCAAAGATTTTAAAATATTTTATTTGCTTTTTTTTTTTTTTTTTATATTCAGCAGATTAACCACTATTATCATTTCCAAATAAAACCAGAAGAAAAATCAAGTATCCTTTCTCTCATTGTGCCATTCATTAGTACACTGGTAATACCTCAGAGCAACAGCCTCTCACTCAGTCAAAAATAAAGAGTACTTTGAAAATAGTCACTGTTACTGAACTGAATATCACTGAACTACTGTACAGGTAGCTTAGTGGTTAAGAGTGTTGTGCCAGTAACCGAAAGGTCGCTGGTTCTAATCCCCGAGCCGACTAGGTGACAAATCTGTCGATGTGCCCTTGAGCAAGGCACTTAACCCTAATTGCTCCTGTAAGTCACTCTGGAGCGTCTGCTAAATGACTAAAATGTTAAATGTAAATACAGCCATTAGAAGCTACTGTAAAATACATAGTCTTCTTCTGAACACTATTAAATTGCTCATAGTTTAGTGATACAGTAATAGGTAGCTGTGATGAAAAAAATCCCACAGTAACGTTTACATAGCATCATGTTAATGACAAAGCTTGATGTTAAAACAAGTCAGCAACAACTACCTTTCGAGTAGCAAACTCCAGATTCTTCACACTTGAACTAGACGTTAAAAAGGTCTAGATAGATGGCAACTGCTGACAGAATCCGTTAAAAGGGAATGACATTGAATACAGGCCTAGATTCTACCATACAACAAACAAGGCCTATAACGAGAAGGTCATGGCGCGTGCAGGTGTCTGGAGTGTAAAGCTGGTGGACTACGCAGTACAGTTTCATTACTGACAATACTCGTACAAATGGATGTAACACAAATGGAGTAACACTCACGGTTTGAAACTGTTGTTTAATCCAACAAGAGGGATCCATCTAAATAAAAGTCTGATAAAAGAACCATTCTCCATCCTCTTTCTAGCAGGTTCTCCTACACTCCTGGGTCAGGTTCTCCTATACACCTGGGTGAGCTTCTCCTGTACACCTGGGTCAGGTTCTCCTATACACCTGGGTCAGGCTCTAGTCTAGACACCTGTAGAATGTAAAATACTGGATATTTTCTCAGACCAAGGGGGAGCACCAAGTACAACAAGTGGAGATTTAGATTGATCTAATAAGCATTTAATCCACCTAGGTATAAAGTGATAGCTATTAATCATGACTGACTTCAGTTGTTTTGACAATGTATTCGAAGGTGGATAAATTTCACCTGAGGAGAAATGATTGATCTAAACTCACTTGATCTACATAGACTATGATTATAGAACTTAACAGCTATTACAACGCTTATGATAAAAAAAAAAGTTTATTTAGATTTCTCTTGAGCTATAAACCGTTCTGTCAAGATTTAGCAAATTACGGTCGCACACATTGTACAGGAGAAAAAACCAGAAATCATTCCATGTAGTGTCCACGGAGCCCCTAGAAAGTGATGACCGTTATATGCAGTAGGAATTTTGGCAACACCTCAATTCTACACAATTCATTGAAGTCTGTAAACAAACAATATGGACTCTTGAGAAGAGTGGAAAGAGACCGAAATTGAAAAGAGCAATTAGTATTATCTTCCAGGAACACTTTCCCAAAAAATTAAAAGCTAAATTTTTGAAGGCAGCAGGAATTTCTTAGTGTATGGGAAACATGTAGGGCGTGTCCAACCCCCTTCTTCCTAGAGCTGAATAGTTTATTCTAATATTCGTATAATAAAATCAATCATATTTAAGTAGTATGTACTAATTACAATACGAGAGAGAAAAAAATAACATCGGGATACATATGCTTTTTGTAGAATCCTCCCCCTTCCTCCTAAGACACTCCCCCAACCAATAGGTGCGCTAAGACTGCAGCGTGACTTCCTTCTTCCTGTCTGCGGCATTTAGAGTAGTGAGCACTTCCTCTTCCTCTTCTTGACGGGTGGGGGGCACAGGACTGCCCGGATGGCTTCGTCAAACACTGTCTTAAGGCCGCGCTGTGTCAAGGCTGAGCATTCCAGGTACTTTACTGCTCCTGTAGAGGAATAAGACAGGCTGGCAGTCAACATCACAGCAAATAGGGATTTCATTCATTGAAATCCTAAATGGACTAATAGCTATGACTACACTGAGCGGATCCAGGTTAAGCTATGGAGAAACTCCATTGACATTGCTGTGTAGAGTCCAGTAATAGGCTTACTCTATGTCCGGGAAACAGGCCCCTAAAGTACTACTAAGACCTAAGTAAGTAAGCCTTGAGCCCATAGGCTCCTGTCCGATCTCCTGTTTCTGTAGCGTGAGGCAGCTTGATGTACAGTACACCCCCTGGACAGGACACTAGTTTATCTCCTGTTTTTGTAGTGAGGCAGCTTGATGTACAGTACACCCCCTGGACAGGACACTAGTCCATCTCCTGTTTTTGTAGTGAGGCAGCTTGATGTACCAGTACACCCCCTGGACAGGACTAAGTACCATTAGTAAACTAACCAATCTCTTTGGCCATGGCCAGGCCCTGGGGGTAGGTGATGGGGGTGAGTTTCTTCTCCTTCAGCTTCTCGATGGTGTCCTTGTCGTCTCTCAGATCCAGCTTGGTGCCCACCAGGATGATGGGGGTGTTGGGGCAGTGGTGTCTCACCTCTGGGTACCACTACAGAGGACAGGGACAAGACAGTCAGGATAGGATCAGTATGTTACTGTAGACTAGAGGCCTACCTATCAAGTCTATACATCAGTTGTTTTGAGTATGTGGATAAAATCCACCCTTTCAAGCAATGACCCTGTTGATAACTTAATGCTTTAATACAAAACGTCTCACCTTGGCACGGACGTTTTCAAAGGAGGCGGGACTCACAAGGGAGAAGCAAATCAAGAACACATCCTGTTGAGAGGAAACAAACAGCATAATTTATACAAGATAAAAAACTGACAGTTACAATTCATGGAGACTAATGTTTTGTAGCTATGAATGGTACAAACTAACCACACAGACAAGAGTTCATGAACCAGTCCTCAATTCACTGTTATTATCTAGGAGGACAAAGTTTCCCTGAACACTGACCACTGTCAATTGGTGGGAGGAGTCACAGAGCCCAGAATGAGGGCAGACAAAGGGGCAGACAGAGCACTCTTTCACTTCCTTAATGCCTGCTCCAGACATTGTTTTGGTACTATGGGCAGAGGGCTGTACTCTCCTCCCCATACAGACTCTGAGCCATAATAAATACTCAATGTTGGCAACACAATGCAATATGCCTTTCCCTAACACCCTGAATTACTTGCGTTATATTGTTCACAATGTTGTCAAAACCGGGCCGCAAGCGATTTCTTTTGGGGGGGAATTCAGCTAAAAATGAGTTTAATTTAGGAAATCTGTTCCCAGGTATTCCCACGAATAAAAGAGACAGGTATGATATTATTGTTATTTTGAAATACAATCTCTTTTTGGGCTTAGTTGTGGTCAATTTTCTGTGTAGAAATTATTATAGTTGTGTTCCGGCCCTCCCGACCATCCGCTGCGACAAAAATCAGCCCACGGCTGAATCTAGTTGCCTACCCCTGTTGTAGGGATTTATGCTTTATGCAGAGCTGAATACAGTACATTTCTCCTGTTGTTTTACCGTCTGTGGATAGGACAGTGGTCTGAGCCTGTCGTAGTCTTCCTGTCCTGCTGTATCCCATAGACCCAGATTCACTGGTTTCCCATCGACCATCACATTGGCAGAGTAGTTGTCAAAGCTGCAGGGAGAGATACATGTTACGCCACAATGACATCATCAGGGAAGTGATTAGCACACAACCAGGAAATTATGGCAACCAGTAATTTTCAATGATTCTACAGGCTAAATATAGTCATCAGGAAAAAGTTGAACAACCACACCTCTGATTATAAAATGTTAACATAGAATGCTAACATGAACATTCAGCACTATGTTTCTAGTGTAGGGGAGAAGGGTTAAAGCATTATCAGTTAGACCCTGGCATAGCATTTATTTTTGCTGACAAGACTCTCCATGTCATTTGTAAGACACCTGCTGCGATGGGAGAGTGTGAGAGAGAGTGTGTGTGCTTACACTGTGGGGATGTATTCCCCGGGAAACGCGTTGGTGGTGTAGCTGATGAGCAGGCATGTTTTCCCCACAGCTCTGGAGGAGAGAAGGAGAAATAAACCGCTTTAGTTTTGTTTATGTCCATTTCAAAACTGAAAGGAGAACTTGGACGGGTGTAACTGGCCAACTTGAGACAATGAGTTAAACTATGAATGAATGTCTGCATTATCCAGTAGTGTTCCAATGTTGGGGTTTCTCTCGGCAATATGGACATGTTACCAGCATAGAGAGAGAATGGAACAATGTCCTAAATAAGGTTGATGTTGGAGTTTATTATCAACAGGCAGCAGACAGTTAAACTACTATTTTCCAGAAATATTTAGATTAAAGGTCTAAGTAGTGAAGCTTTCTAAAGACAAACTAAAAGAGATTGAGTTAAATATCTGCTAGAGAGCAGGTCATCTCAAGTCTTTATAATAAGTTCTCAATTATGCAAAGGGTAGTAAATTATCTAAAACCCAATGGTGTAGCAAATAATGTCACTTATCATCATACAAGGCAGTAACAAGAAGTGATCTCTGTTCTGAGTCAGATGATAGGACGGACACTAAAGGATTGCTGGGAATGGATCATTTATAATAACTAACGTTACACAGAACCGTGCATACAGCGGCAGTCTCACTCGCTAGCCACTATTTATTTTAACCTAACAAGAAACTTGGTCCTAACAGCAAACGAGAATATATTACAGTTACCGTCAAGTAACAATTAGTTAGGCTAAGTTATCATGCCACAACAAGTTTACAGACTAATGTTAGCAAGCTAACTTAGCTAACGCTAATTAGTTAGAGTTGGAAACAGTGACAACAGTTGTCACCAATTAGCTAGTAAGCTAACAAGCAATCTGTGGGCTAATAGAAACAATTAACTTTGACATAATTTATATTCCAGATCATAACTTATATTGTAAGACGTCATTTTATAAACATACCTAACTAGCTAAACAAATGTAGGTTTAACTTACCCGTCCCCCACTACAACACACTTGATGGCCTGCATCGACGCCTTTCTCAGCTAGCAAGCTACAGTAGCTAGCTCAAATTGTAGCTTGTCGGTTAGCTGGTAAATCACTCTTTTGTTGAGTGAACTTGTTTTCCCAACGGGGAAAAACAAGGTTTGAAGCCTAGATTGGAGGGCCCAAGTTGCGATAGTTTGTAAATTAGGAGAATTCCTTCAAATCAGTGTCCTCAAATAACTTGGTGGAACTCCAAACCTGTAAACCAAGCAGCCACCACCCCAAAAATCTCTGGTGCTAAGCTTGAAAAAACGCCCTAAAACAACGGAAGCTGTAGCTCCCATTCCATGCAAGTCATTTCCGTTTACCGTAGATTGGATAAAGGAATTTTCAAAGGGCTGTCAAGCGACGCCACCTAGCGGTAAGTACAACATTTCTACAGCCACTTTTAGTTTCTGAACGTTAGAGGGCAGTATTCCCTCATCAGTTGAATATTGTAAAGGCCCTCCTAAATTGTGCACCATTTGAGGGAGGCAGGCATCATGAGATAAGACAGTCAGTCAATACTTTGGGTGTTATGATTTCATTAATCTGGAACTTTATCATGGTTGTCCTGTGTTTTATCCTTAGAAAAAGTATGTGTTTATCCACATTACAAATTGCCGCATCTTATCTACATTTTACATTTTTACATTTTAGTCATTTAGCAGACGCTCTTATCCAGAGCGACTTACAGTTAGTGATTACATATTTTTTTTATACTTATACTTTTTTTAACTGACTTTAATTACACTCAAAGACAATTCAGCTCCCCCACTCGAAACATTAGTTGTATCTTTCTGATGTTTTTAGTTGTGTTCTGTTTGGTTATTTTGTATTCCTAAACTCCTGTACATTCTCTAGTCTCAAGGACACACTTTTTAACAGTCTCAAGTCACAAACAGATGACATGTCAGCTGCACTAATTTGCAACTCCCCCTCATTTACATTCTCCACTGTGTGAATGTTGTGGAATCGAACCCACAACCCTGGCGTTGCAAACGCCATGCTCTATCAACTGAGCTACATCCCTGCCGGCCATTCCCTCCCCTACCCTAGACGACGCTGGGCCAATTGTGCGCCGCCCATGAGTCTCCCGGTCGCGGCCGGCTGCGACAGAGCCTGGATCCGAACCAGGAACTCTAGTGGCACAGTTAGCACTGCGATGCAGTGCCTTAGACCACTGCGCCACTCAGGAGCTAAGTTGGAATTTTACAGATGCTCTTATCCAGAGCAACTTAGGGTTAAGTGCCTTGCTCAATAGTACACAGAAAGATTTTTCACCTATTCGGCTCTGGGATTCGAACCAGTGACCTTTTGGTTACTGGCCCAATGTTCTTAACCAGCAAGTCTACCTGCTAGTCTACCTGCCCCCCTGGCACCACACAGATTGCAAGGGGTTTTCTCCTCTGCTGACTGTGGATCCAAAACATCTGAGTAAAACAGTATAAAACCAGTTAAGATGTAATTTTGAGTTATCTCTCTCTTTCCCCTCTCCCTTACATCATTAAGTTTGCCGATGACACAACAGTGGAAGGCCTGATCACCGACAACGACGAGACAGCCTATAGGGAGGAGGTCAGATACCTGGCCGTGTGGTGCCAGGACAACAACCTCTGCCTCAACGTGATCAAGACAAAGGAGATGATTGTGGACTACAGGAAAAAGAAGAGGACCGAGCACATCCCCATTCTCATTGACAGGGCTGTAGTGGAACAGGTTGAGAGCTTCAAGTTCCTTGGTGTCCACATCACCAACAAACTAACATGGTCCAAGCACACCAAGACAGTCGTGAAGAGGGCACGACAAAGCCTATTCCCCCTAAGGAGACTGAAAAGATTTGGCATGGGTCCTCAGATCCTCAAAAGGTTCTACAGCTGCACCATCGAGAGCATCCTGACTGGTTGCATCCCTGCCTAGTATGGCAACTGCTCAGCCTTCGACCGCAAGGCACTACAGAGGGTAGTGCGTATTGCCCAGTACATCACTGGGGCCAAGCTTCCTGCCATCCAGGACATCTTTACCAGGTGGTGTCAGAGGAAGGCCCTAAAAATTGTCAAAGACTCCAGCCACCCTAGTCTCTCTGCTACCGCACGGCAAGCGGTACCGGAGTGCCAAGTCTAGGTCCAAGAGGCATCTAAACAGCTTCTACCCCAAAGCCATAAGACTCCTGAACAGCTAATCATGGCTACCCGGACTATTTGCATTGCCCCCCCCCACCCCACCCCCACCCCCTATTTTACGCTGCTACTACTCTGTTTATTATCTATGCATAGTCACTTTAATAACTCTACCTACATGTACATATTACCTCAATTACCTCGACTAACCGGTGCCCCCGCACATTGACTCGGTACCGGTACCCCCTGTATATAGCCTCCCTACTGTTATTTTACTGCTGCTCTTTAATTATTTGTTACCTTTATTTCTTCTTTTTTTTAGGTATTCTTTCTTAAAACTGCATTGTTGGTTAAGGGCTTGTAAGTAAGCATTTCACTGCAAGGTCTACACCTGTTGTATTCGGCGCGTGTGACAAATACAATTTGATTTGATTTGATTTGTCTTTCTTCCAACATCCTCCTCCCCTCCCCCTTCTCCCCTCCCCCTTCTCATTTCATCAGCAAAACCATTAAAGTGTCTTCATCGTTAATTAATCAGTGTCTCCATGGTAACTCAAACCCTGATCCCTATGTATTTATACCCCTCATCCTGGAATAGAGCAAGAAGGATTATGCTATTGGGGGATTTTGAAGGGAATGACACATTCATAGGATAAACAACAACATTAAGTAGTGGATAAAAGCAGAGGAAAGGGATTAATGCAGGATAAACATGCTCCTCACAGAGACTAGGGGCCAGCACTAGCACTAACACACATGTGTCCAAATGGAAAATGTGGAGCCTTGGAGACATGGAAGATGCTCAAAGTGTCATTGTGTGGACATGTGGAGTTTCCGGTGAATCAGTGGGTGTTAGTCACTTTTTTTTAGAAAGACCTGTTAGATGAACTACGTCACAGAGCCTCCCTACCTCTTATTTATACTGTACATTGTATGTTCCTCACTGCAAACTCCCTAATACTCTACAGTTATATGTCGACTTATCTATTTTGTATATTATGTATGTAAACTTTGTGTAAATTCCTCTGTCTATTTCTGCATCTATATGTTGTATTGGTAGCAGCACTATATCACCAAGTAACATTCTGGGTATGTGTAAATGTACTTGGCGAATAAAGGTGATTCTGATTCGAATGTATTGATAAAGCTATGGAAAGCTACTGAATAGAGGGCATGCATATCAGCGAGAAGAGAGAGAGGTAGAGCATGAATGAGATCACATAACCTACAGCAGGGGTAGGCAACCCTGGTGCTGGAGTGCTGCAGGCACTTCATGTTTTTGATTTAACTGACCTAGAAGACCAGTTGTGTTGAATTTAGGCAATCACTGAACTGATCAATTAGCTCAGTTGGTCAGGGCTGCGTTCAGTACATAAAAACGTAATGGAACGTTCAATTGAACGTAAACAGCGCTGTACTGAATGACCAGTTGAAAAAAACGGGGAAGGGTTGGGTTGTGGGTTGAAAATGCATCGCTGCCCTTTAAACATGTCACTCGTTGCTTCAAGCCACCTCCCGGCACACCCACTGAACGGCGTAAACGTATCTCAAAGTCTGTTCAAGAACATTTTGGGAAAACGTGTCGTTCAGTACAAACTGTTCTGCAACGTAGCAAACGTTCAAGCGAACTGAACAAATCCCTGGTTTAGGGCCTAGTTGGAACAAAATAATGCGGTACCTGCGACACTCCAGGAACAGTGTTGCCTACCCCTGCACTAGAGTATAGCCCAGATGCTAATGTTCTGCTAGAGCTATAGGAAGTAGAGCAAGCACACAACTTATGGAGTCACCTTCTCATGGTACATAACAGCAGTGTGGAAATTATAGAAGTTAATGAATGCAAATAGCTCCGTCTTTGTCACCGGGTCATTATGTTTCCCATGATATCTCTGAATCATCTCTCATTGGACCGCCATCATAACGCAAAGGGCATTTGCATAACAGCCTGATCACCCTTCTGTGGGGAATCATAATGTAATTGACACCATGCCTGGATGACATTTTAGAATGTTGGAGGAGTCAATGGAACTATCCATCCTTCTGATGGACTTCAGAGTATGTTAAAGAGGAAGTCATGGAACATGACATTGTTTTGATATTCCGTAGGAGAACTGAACCCTCTGCCGTGCTGTTATTTAGAACTAAACCCTCTGCCATGCTGTTATTTAGAACTGAACCTTCTGCCATGCTGTTATTTAGAACTAAACCCTCTGCCATGCTGTTATTTAGAACTGAACCCTCTGCCATGCTGTTATTTAGAACTGAACCCTCTGCCATGCTGATATTTAGAACTGAACTCTCTGCCATGCTATTATTTAGAACTGAACCTTCTGCCATGCTGTTATTTAGAACTGAACCCTCTGCCATGCTGTTATTTAGAACTGAACCCTCTGCCATGCTGTTATTTAGAACTGAACCCTCTGCCATGCTGTTATTAAGAACTGAACCCTCTGCCATGCTGTTATTAAGAACTGAACCATCTGCCATGCTGTTATTTAGAACTGAACCCTCTGCCATGCTGTTATTAAGAACTGAACCCTCTGCCATGCTGTTATTTAGAACTGAACCATCTGCCATGCTGTTATTTAGAACTGAACCCTCTGCCATGCTGTTATTTAGAACTAAACCCTCTGCCATTATGTTATTTAGAACTAAACCCTCTGCCATGATGTTATTTAGAACTAAACCCTCTGCCATGCTGTTATTTAGAACTGAACCCTCTGCCATGCTGTTATTCAGAACTGAACCCTCTGCCATGCTGTTATTTAGAACTGAACCCTCTGCCATGCTGTTATTTAGTTGATGGAGGGTCATATGGTTGCTCTCTTGCATTTCCTTTCCTCTAAGTGTTTTGAAGCAGAACTGGGTAGTAAGCTCGACTAACA